ACAGAACTGTGGTGGCAAATATAGAGCTGTATTGGGGGCCACTTTAATTTTAAATTTTCTTTCCAAATTTTTTTGTTTGAGCAGAAATTCCTTATGCTGCTTCTCAGCCTAAAAGTGAATTAATTTTTGGAAGTTTTGTAAAATTGCAAGCAGCTATTTTTGGTATGGGAATTGTTGGATTGAGATTCTCTTATTCAGCAAATGGATTGAACATATCTTTATTAAGGCAAAACACTCAGCAAAACGCAGTTACTCACAGGCTCATCGGGATGATCTTATCACAGTTTCCTCCAGCACCAGATCATACAGCTTCAACCTCCCTGTACACAAATTTATTTATAACTTTTTGTTATATTTTTCGTATACATTTGCATTAGTCTCTCATTTCCATGTTAGCTCTCTTCCGCTGTCAGTACAGGGTTAGTGTAAGTTCAGACCAGTCTTTTCTAGCTTTTAAGTTATTTTATCTTTTCTTTTTCTCACAAACACAATTACCCTGCAGTTTCTCACACAGGTGCAACACTAAACACGATATCTCTGCAATTTCTTACACATGCACAGTTCTTATGCTTATGCTGTTAAACATACCGGAGCCTGCCCCCCCCAGCGCCGCGCTGCCGGAGCGCCCCACCCGTGGAATGCCGCGCCGCGCTCCCCCCACCGCCTCTTACCAGGTGCCGCCCCAAGCATATGCTTGGGTGCCTGGTGCCTGGAGCCGGCCCTGGTAACAAGGAGGGTTTCTACAGATATGTTAGCCATAGGTGCTGACTCCGTGGGTGCTCTGAGGCTGGAGTACCCACGGGGAAAAATTGGTGGGTGCTCAGCACCCACCAGCAGCTCCCCACTCACCTCCGCCTCTGCTCTGCCTCTGCCTCCTCCCCTGAGCACGCTGCATGCCAGCTTTCCCCCCCTAGCTCCCAGTGCTTATGCTGCAAAACAGCTGTTTTGCATGGCTGGAAGGGGGGCATAGGGAGAACGCGGTGCGCTCGGGGAAGAGGCGGGGCTTGGGTAGGGATTTTGGGAAGGGGTCCAATAGGGGCAGGGAGGGGGTGGAGTTGGGGCAGGAACTTTGGGGAAGGGGTTGGAATTGGGGCGGGGCAAGGGAGGAGTTGGGGTGGAGCGGGGGGCGCAAGTGCCCACCAGCGCCGGTGAAAGTTGGCACCTATGATGTTAACAACAGAAAGAAGGCCAGGGAAAGTATGGGACCCTTACTGAATGGAGGAGGCAACCTAGTGACAGATGATGTGGAAAAAGCTGAAGTGCTCAATGCTTCTTTTGCCTTGGTCTTCACAGACAAGGTCAGCTCCCAGACTGCTGCACTGGGCAGCACAGTATGGGGAGGAGGTGAGCAGCCTTCAGTGGTGAAAGAACAGGTTAAGGACTATTTAGAAAAGCTGGACATGCACAAGTCCATAGGGCTGGATGCAATGCATCCAAGGGTGCTGAGGGAGTTGGCTAAAGTGACTGCAGAGTCACTGCCCATTATCTTTGAAAACTCATGATGCTTGGGGGAGATCCTGGACAATTGGAAAAAGGCAAATATAGTGCCTATCTTTAAAAAAGGGAAGTCTGGAAAAGTCCACAATGCTAGGAACTCAGTTCTATTTACCTTACAAATAAAGGAAAGTTTGCTCCCAGGATCACTATGGACATTATTGGTGTGGAGATTGCTCCAGTTATCCCTGGAGACCCGGCTTATCCCCTGCTGCCCTGTCACAGGCCACTTGGACAGTAGAAAGGCACTGTTTAACTACCACCTCAGCAGTTCCAGAATGACAGTATAGAGTGCATATGACCCTCTGAAAGGAGGGTGGTGTTGCTTGTGGAATAAATTGGAAGCTGCAAAAACAAACAAGCAAACAACCCCATGCCAAAGGCTATGTTTACACTGGGCACATAATCGAGGACTGGGCTGTGCTGGACACACCTATAGTGCTCTATACACATATATTACCATGTCCACACTCCCACTGAAGATATGTGACGTTAGTGCTTCCATTTCAGCAGTGGTATCCCAGGCTTATATGTGTCACAGGGAGACACTCTACGAACCACTTTGCTGTGTGTTGTTTGTACTGTCCCCTGCTGAGGGCACATCCTGACCATTTCATCCTTCACTGTTGTTCCCTGAAAAAGTGGGTGGAAGAAATGGAGAGTAGTATAATGGGCTTACTGTCAATCAAACATTGGCTCCTCCCCCTTACCTGTTAGCCCCGCCCATCTGTCGCCCTAAGACCCGCCCACTATGATATTACTTCCAGGATCAAGACAGAGACATGACCCGAAACAAGGGGTATCATGTGACCCCTCTAAGAACTCTTCCCATCACCCTCTACCAATCAGGATGGGTTTCAGCCACAGAGAACCACCCAGAGAGCAGATTTGACCAATTGGTCATGTGACCCATCTAAGAACTCCTCCCATCACCCTCTACCAATCAGAGTGCAGCACCACTACCCTGTAAGTCCCAGCGCCATATGGAAGAGGCCATCTCATTTCAAGAATGTGTGTTTTAGAAATGAGAGCTTCCGAATTTGTTTTAGCTCTGAGGGTTTCAACCACCTGCGGAGAAAGCACTCCATCAGCGAAAGTTCCAAGGAGGAAGAAGAGAGAGCAGCTGAGAGGAGCCCTTTGGCCCAGCCATTGATGGATACGTTGGAACCTGACCCTGAAAGCCAAGCGTTCATGAGGAAGACCAATGAGCGTGTTGGCCAACCCCTATGGAGGAAGGTGACCGAGGCTTGTGGGAGTCACTGGTGGACAAGGTGAATGGAAAACACATCGCTCAGGTAAATGAACAATTAAGAAGTGACAGTCGAGGATGAGGTGTAATAGGGTCAGGAACCAACCCGGGATTGCGTAAATCTAAAAACAAGCAGTGGGGGCTTACAGTTGTTTCTTTTATGAAAATCTCTTGACAGCTCAACGATGTCTTTCTAGAGGACCTGAGGGCCCTGAAGAGCATTGTATCAGACGAGGAAGATGAACCAGGCCTGTCTTATTTTTGCTTAACACCGATACAAATAGTTGAAGAGGACACTGAGGATGACAGCTGGAGTTTAGGAGTGGGCTTGGCATGGAACTAAATGAGCCAATGCCACGTCATGAGCATAAGAAAGTCATGTGGTCTATTGTACATGTTGCTGTTAATGCTGTCCTTAATCACTGTCTTAGGGAAAAACTTTCTGAAGATCCTGAGGGCTGTGCTATGACTGTGTGACTTGGACTTCAGAGGATATAAACTGCAAGCTCCAGGACCCCTGTGCTGAACTGTGTTTTGAAAGTTTATTAAATGCTGTTATTGCCATAGGTTATGCAATGCAACAATATCTGTGCTTAACTCAAAAACATTTAGCACAAGGGGTGATCTTGGTAAATGCTGTGCAATTCGGTCAAGACCCTGATAGTGTTTTAAAGAAAATGACCAAACCAGAGGATGTCTGCTCAGAGCATTATATTGATTGTCTGGTCCGCACAAAAAGTTACAGAACCCTGCTTAGGAAAAAGACTATTTGTAAGAAATCTAAAAGGATTAAGTTAGAGAATGGTGAGGGGACAAACATGTGATATAAAAGTTGGTAGCTGTAAATAAAAATATCTATTGAAAAGGGCTTTGTGACTATCTGTGTTTCTGTTAGAAGGTCTGTGTGGCCCTTAAATAAGATAAAAGTTTTTATGGAGCATCTTGGTTTGTTGTTAAGGGGCTGTATGTCTTTTAAATAAATACAAAAATAGTTTGTGAGAACCTAGTTCTTGTGTCTTTGTGTAAATGAGACCCATTTACAGCAAAAGTTGAAATGTGTGTAGTAGAATCTTGTGGGGGGAAAAAACAAAAAATGTGTTTAAAATAAAAGCAAATAAAAAAGCTTCTATATTCTGTATAAAACAGGGATGTTTGAGTACAATAGAGCTGACTCATCCTGTTGAGCTGATGGTTTAACCACATCCCCACTGAATAGCAAGGGTGACTCTATTGCCTTAAGGAGTCTGTAGGCCTAGATGTGACTATCCACCCTTGTTTCCATCAGGGTTAAATGTATTAGTGATCAGTAATTAAATTTGATGGGTGTACACCCACAGTAACGGGGGTGGGTGGGGATGTCAAGCTCTGATTAATATTAAATGAAATAAAACCTCAGGAGTTTGTAGATGCTATTGGACAGTTTAAATATAACCCCAGAAGTTGGTTGAACATTATGTGTCATGCTTTCTAGCAACTCAGTCATTAAAAGTTTAAAATAATATATTTACAAAAAAAACCCAAGGATCTAACCAAAGCTGAAACGTTTCAAGAGTTCACAAACCTCCAACATACTTTTATAAAGCAAGCATTTGCTGTAAAAACATTCAAACATTTAAAAGCTATGGGTATTTTTAGGGTGTTTACTATGGTTGTGATTCATCCATTTTATTTCAAAACAACCCAAAACTTTAAGCATGAAACAGACATGTTTTAAAAAAACAACAACCCACAAGACATTCATTGATATCTGCAAGGTGCCCCTACTCAGGAGAGAATATAGTAACATTAAGGATTTTATGTAAGTGGATTCACTGTTTAATACTGTAAGATGGCCCTACAGTGCTCTGTTTTTTCATTGAAACAGAAAAATGTATTTTAACTAAAAGAAAAAAAATGCCCAAAGCAGCCTAGTTCTGTAGACAACTTAATTTTCACACACACCCCAGATCACAAAAGGGAACGTTTGGGGAGGGGTGCCTCAATTCCTTAAGTATCTCTTAATTCAGAGTTGTAGTGATCAAATCAAACCGCTAACTACAGACTTTGAAATTTGTTTGAAACAAAGAGTTAGGATGGTATAAAAAAACAGGTTTTTGGAGACTGTATCTTTTTATCTTGAAGAGAATAGCTGCTGGACTGCAAGTAAATGTATGTTGCTTGTTTTTAACTCTGAAAATATATATTATATAATGTCCCTCTTTGTCCATGCTGTTCTTACTAATAATGGTACCTATCTTTATTGCAGGGTGATCTGTTTGGCATGGCAACAGCAACTTCAAGCTCTGTTTCACCAGGGCCAGGTAAAACCCCATTTTAACTATAGTTGTGCTTAATACTCTTAAATTAAAAATTTAATTATAGTTGTGCTTAATACTCTTAAATTAAAAATTTTTAACACCAGGTAATACACAGGTTGCATAGGGATTTGACGCTGTGGAAGCAGAGAAAGAACTGACAGGAAGGGGATGCAATGCATGACAGTTCGTTAGTAAGAGTTAGTTTAACTGTAACCCTAATAACGCAAGATTTGTAGAAGCGAGGAATGTGTGAGGCGAGTGGGAAAGAACTGTGTGAGAAGTTGTTGCGACCTTGTGTAGATAATGTGTAGATAATATGTAATGTAGACTAAGAGTCTACATTAGTGAGCAAAACAAGATATCAGAATGACCTATGTATAAACAAAATGCAGCTGTTGCTCATTATTGTCTGTAACAAAAGGTATAAATGCTTGCTGTAATTGTTTACCTGTTGAGAGACCTGTTTAGCTCTCTCCCTCTATGCAATTGATAGAGAGAAAATAAAGTATCTGATTTGCTGTACCCAAACAAAAAGTGAGAACTCTGTTATTCTCCGACAACGCATTTGGGGAATAATACCAACTAATTTTTTTGCTTGTTCTTTAACCCAAAGGCCCAAATATACATGGGGGAAAACAGAATAACAATGTGCCAGCATCCCTTTACCCTGTGGTGGAAGGTAACTTTCTGCAATTGATTTTTAAAAGGGTGTGTGTTTTAAAATATTTTTTTAAATTTATTTTAATGTTTAAATTGTGAGTTAGGGGCCTGTGCAAGACATAGGTGTGTTTATTGAAAAGTATATTGTTGCAAACTGTTTGTTTGGTGTGTTTCAAACTAACAGGGTTTTTTACTCAGCAAAATGTGATTTTTTTTTAAATGGGTTGTTTTAAAATTAGTTTTAATGTTTAAATTGTTGTTGGTGATTTAGGGGGCCTGTTGAAGACGTAGTTATGGTGGGGGATTTAAAAAGTATTTTATTGCTAACTTTGTTTTTGGGTGCATGGTGGAAACATGTGCTTGTATTAAAAAATGTCTAGATTTTGGAGAAACACTAGTGGTAGAAATAAATTCAAAACCTATATTTGTTGTACAGACTTAAATGGATTATTTTGTTTAAAGCTATGACTTTTTACATAGAAAAACACCCTAATGAATATTTTATTTTTATGTTTGCAAGACTGTTTCATGTGTTTGCTCCACAGTATGGTCAAAACATGAGACCCTTAGACCAGAGGGTAAACAAGCTCAAAAGAAAAAGGAAAGAGACAGCGGAAAAGGCAAATTCAACAGCATCAACGGCTGATGGATGGGTGAAGCCTAGTAAATATATTTTACTTATTGGTTTGGTGTTTTATGAGGTTTTGTATTTTAAGCAAATACGTAGGTGTGGGTGAGAGAGATGGTAAAGTTAAGTTTTGTGGTTTTGGTGAATTTTGTAAAATGTTTATTTGATGCTAAATTGGAACATCTCTGTCTTTCCTAATCAGGCATGGGCAAATCCCCTGACAATGCCGTAGTCAGAGCTACAGGGACTCCTCCACCAGAACTGCCAAAGAACCAGGAATCTGCTCTGGGACCTTTAATAACAACGCCAATGCAAAACAGCAGAAGAGTGCAGACAAAACATCAGGATAGTCCAAAGCTCGTATACATCAAGTCAAAGGATAAAACAAAAGATTCTGGTAAAAAGCAACCACGCAAACACAACTCCAGTTCCTCAGAGGTCAACACCACACCAAGCCCTGAGAAAACTGTGAGTGAAAACACACACATTCACAAATCCAGAGCACGTGCTTTATGGGTTATGAATAAAAACCCAAGGACTGAAAGCTCCTGTGATGCTGGGGTATATTCTTATGAAGTATCTGAAAATTATTACGAATCATTTTCCCAACAAAATAAGCACAGCACACCTCTTTGGTATTCTAAAAAGATTTGGGAAAAATGTGATGCTTCATTCAGAAAGCTGATGGATGCTGTATCCTCTGGAGCTGTAAAAGAAAGGAGGACTGGAAACTACATCCAAAATGCAAAAGCTCTTGCGGGTGACTTTTTGAAAAATACTTCAGTTTTTCAAGATGATGGCTCTGAGCAGGCATGACTAGTCATGGAAAGGGCCTGGGTAAAAGGGGCATCCTCAAGGGTACACATCAGCTAAGGTGTAAACAAAAGGGGGGGCAGCATTTGGGGATAAACGGATGGCTGCCCAAAAGTTATGGCACAAATTGTAAATTTTTTTAAAAGGCTAACGAGGTGATGAGGACAAAAAAACAAAGAGATGCACCCTATTAGAGGCTCTCAAACAGGTGCGTCTGAGAAGGGAGAGGTGGAATCCAACTTGCGGGGCGGTGGTGATTCTCACAGAGTCTGATTTAGAAAATTCCCCAGAATGCTCTCTAGATAGGTCCCCATCTACTCCTGATGATACTCGCAGTGGCCCCTTGTTGTCTGAGTCTCAAATAGTGTCTGACTTAGAATTTGTAGCTGATTGTCCCATAGAGGAACCCCCAAGTAACCCTGAAAATGCAACTGCAGACCCCCAAACAGACGTGTATATGGAGTGAGTGAGAAGTTGGCAATGGTAATTACCTAGAATTGGGGGTTCGATGTATTGTGAGGAATTTCATTTTGTTAATCTTGAGCGATTAAATTCAGCTCAGCAGGTTGTTGAAACTGTATACGGAGATACAGTTAGTTCTTGATGACATTAGCAGTAGCCTAGCCCCTGACCATTATGTTCAGTTACGTTTAGAGAGTCATAATTTAACCAACCCTTTGTTTTCGGTAAGAAGAACTACGGATGAGCTGTCTGCTGAAGATTTCTTAAATCAGACTGTGACGCTCTGCATCTTGGGGGAACACGCTGCACCCCCATGTTCTTCCTTATAATATGATTGCACGGTATCCAATGCAAAGTTTGTCATGTTGAGTGTCTTTGGAAGGCTCATGATGCACTGAGCATTGTTGTTATAGTAATGTTATAGGTTGTAATTTCATGTATATAGTTATGAGGCTGAAAATGTGTCCTCATGGCTTAAAAAAAGCCTAGGCAAAACTCTCCAGGAGCAGAGGGGCAGTTCACACCTCATCAAGGCATGTATGGGACAAACTCAGCCCAGCCTCACAAGAACAAAGGACACTGGCCTAGTAGCAACAAAGGATCTGTTGGACTCTCAAGTGAGTCACCCCCCCTTCCCTTGGTCAGTTTGGGGATACTATGAGGTAATGCTAACCTGACTCTGAAGGGTGGAGGGCAAAGCCAAGAGAGAAGAAAGAACATGATAAAAGGAAGAGACGTTTGCCATGCTCTCTCTCTCTCTTCCATCTCCACCTACAGACACGACCACTAAGCAACTGAAGTGCTGATCAAAGGGGAGAGCCTGGCTGAAGGGCAACCAGCCACCTGTGGTGAGAAGCATCTAAGTTTTTAAGGGCACTGAAAGTGTTAAGATCAGCTTAGAATGTGTTTTTCTTTTATTTCATTTGACCAAAAAATGACCAAAAAAATGACCAAATCTGACTTGCTATGCTATGACTTATAATTACTTAAAATCTATCCTTTGTGGTTAATATATTTGTTTGTTTATTTTACTCGAAGCAGTGTGTTTGGTTTGAAGCATGTCAGAGACTCCCCTTGGGATAACAAGCCCGGCACATATCTATTTCTTTGTTAAATTGACGAACTCGTATAAGTGCCCAGCTGGCATAACTGGAGGTTCCTAGTGTTGTGTCTGGGACCAGTGATATTGGCTAGTGTCATTCAGTTGCACAATCCAAGCAGTGGCTGGCCAAAAGTGCTCACTTACATAGTTGGGAGCAGTTTACATGCTAGAGGCTATGTGTGAACAGTCCAAGAGTGGGGGTTCTCACAGCAGAGCAGGGTAAGGCTGGCTCCCAGAGCCAACGATTGGAGTGGCCTAGCAGATCACTAGTCCAGATAACACCAGGGGAACATCACACAGACCTCAAAGCTGTTACAGAGTAATAGAGAGATGCATGTCGATGGTACGTTGCACCTCATTGTGATGGCTGTAAAATCATGGGAGGGGGTGACCATAGAGTTTTACATTCTATCCTCAATAGTCAAATTGTCCATAGAAACAGACAGTGTTTAGTAGGCCTGACTTACCTGACCGGTACCAATCTATGTTTCGCGGGTGGGCTCTTGGCTGTCATATCCAACTGTAAACAAACAGATGCAGAATTGTTAGTTGCATGAGAAACTGGGGTGGTCAGATTAAAAAAAATATGCTTAGCCACGTAGCAGTGTTTGAACAGCATTTACCAGTCAACATACAGATGGTGCTTTAATGCAGCAAAAGGCAATTGGGTTTTTTTAAAAATGGGGGGCCCAGTGTACCCCAAGACTTTTTTTTTCATCCTATTGCACCATGAGCATTACTATGGGGCGCTGGATGTGAAAAAGTTGTTCGGTGCAAAAAATTGTGAGTTTTGCCACGTGGTATACAGTCACGACCATTCTTGCAGGTGTCGTTGCTGCCTCTTCTTGAGTTCGACTTGCTCAGACAGTGTGGGCGTGCAGCTGAGGAGTCCTAGCTGTAGACTGTATTGTCAGTCCAAAGAGTGTTTAGACAGACATGTAGACTGTGCATTGTTGAATGCCTGTCTAATGCTTTATGTGATAAGTGTCAGTGTTATGTGGACAAGGGGCACAAGTGTAAAGGGAGGCGTTGAAAGCAGTGTCAGGGTTTGATCACTGGTGATGTAGACAGCAACCTGTGTTTTTTGGACAACATTAGAAAGCCCAAATCACCAGAAAAGTGTATTTTTTACAATTTTGAATGCACGCAGGAGACTGGGTTGCATGTGCCCAATTACATTTTTGCTATGTCCTTAAAAATCCTGGGAATTTAAGGGCGGTGAACGTCTTTCTACCTTTGTTAAGACCTTCTGTCAAGGCTGTATCCCCACTTTGAACTTTAGGGTACAAATGTAGGGGCCTGCATGAAAACTTCTAAGCTTAAC